GGCGGGGGTTGGGGGCTTGGCTCTGGAGGAGAGGTGGAAGCATTGGGATGGGGGGGATGGGGTGCCTGGCTCTGGGGGAGGGGTGGGAGCATTGTGGTACTTTTTTTTTAAAATGGTACTTTTTAAACAAAAAGGAAAAAACTTAAAAACCAATAGTCTAGTAGCACTTTAAAGACTAACAAAATACAATTGGTCCCCAACTTACAAATGAGTTACGTTCCAAACACTTGGTTGTAACTCGATCTGTTCGTAAGTCGGACCCCATTCATTTAAATGTGACCACGCTGTTCGTAAGTGCAGATCATGTTCATAACTCGGGGACTGGCTGTAATGCGCTTAATGGGAGATTGTTCATAAGGACGAACGGTTATAAGTCAATGCGTTTGTAACTTGGGAACCACATGTATGTAGACTGTATCAATGTTTTGTGGGCAAAACCCACTTCCACCCACAAAAGCTCATTAACACAACATATACATGGTATCATCTTTAAAGTGCTACCAGACTATTTGGTTTTTTTAAGTTTATCCTGTTACAGACTAACTCAGCAACCCCTCTGAAGCTAAAAAAAAAAAAAAAAAAAGGGTTGAGAAACACTGCTCTGTACCATTCCTTTTGGCCTCTCTGTTTCCTTTCTCCTTTGGCCAGTTGGGCAGGCAGGAGTTTTGGTAAATATATATCAGACGTGCACACAGTGCCCACTCTACCTCAGCTGGTGCTTGATAATCAGGGACTTAATTCTAAAGGAGTTGACATTACTGAGGTGACAGATTCCATTCCCCTCCCCCCACGTTTTGTTGTGGATTTTCCAAAGAAAATGCTGGTGTTTCTATAGGTCACCTACATCTTCCAGTCCTAGCAGAGACTTGGGATTAACATGGCTTTCTCAATTAAAAGTCTTATACATGTTTGAATGTTTTGTTTGTGAACACCTGGCAAGGCAGTCTGCTCAAGGCAAGGCTGGCCTTGAATCTTGACATCTATGGCTTCAGTTGAGTGGCTTGTGTGAAATTTGGACGAGCAGCTCAGAGAGACACCTTTCTCCTTTACTTAAGGATAGGATATCATAGCAGCCTGAAGGAAAAAGTCCTCATGGCAGACAGAAAGCCACACTTGGTGTAACTTCAGCATTAGGCTACTTATTGCTTCAAGTGCCTTCAAGAAAGTCAGCGTAATTCTCATGTTGTGTGTTAGTTTTATTTAAAAGTTTATCTGAGTGTTATTTTAACAGGTAAATTAACCTCTCACATTCATAACACAAGGGCTGTGTCTACACTGCACCCCTTTTCCGAAAAAGGGATGCAGATTAGACACATCGTTATTGCAAATGAAGCGGGGATTTAAATATCCCCTGCTTCATTTGTATAAACATGGCTGCCGCTTTTTTCCGGCTCGGGGCTTTCCCGGAAAAAAGCGCCAGTCTCAACGGGGATCTTTCGGAAAATAAAGCCTTTTCCAAAAGGTCCCTTATTCCTCTTAAAATCAGGAATAAGGGACCTTTCAGAAAAGAATCCCCTCCGCTTTCTTTTGTATAAACATGGCTGCCGCTTTTTTCCGGCTCGGGGCTTTCCCGGAAAAAAGCGCCAGTCTAGACGGGGATCTTTCGGAAAATAAAGACTTTTGGAATCTTTTGGAAAAGTCTTTATTTTCCGAAGATCCCCGTCTAGACTGGCGCTTTTTTCCGACAAAGCCCCAAGCCGGAAAAAAGTGGCAGCAATGTTTATACAAATGAAGCGGGGGATATTTAAATCCCCGCTTCATTTGCAATAACGATGTGTCTAATCTGCATCCCTTTTCTGGAAAAGGGGTTCAGTGTATACACAGCCAAGTAGTTTATCGCTGTGTGATAATATGAAAAACAATTAGGTTAACTAGGTAAGTAACTAGGCAGTTAGGAAGCATTACAGATTGCTTACAATAAATTTGATATGCTCAAAATCTTTTTTACCTTTTATTCATTAAGCAATGAGTTACTCATTTGCTATAACAGTGGTTTTAAATGTTTGATTGAAACAGTGATGAAATTCAAGCTTAGGCTATATAACATTTATTTATCTTGTGTTTTATAAAACACATTTTTAAAATGACATTTTTTATATAAAAGACATGAACCTAATGATAACAGGATAGGGAACAAATTAAAGAGAAAAATGATTTAACAATGTAAACCACAACAACTTTATAATTTATATTTGTTTGTTGTTAGTCAAATAAGTAATTCATTAAACAATAAATATCCTAAGAGGTAGATTATTTACAGTGGTGTAGTCAGGAGAACACAAGGGGGACGGGGGAGTTGCCCCCAGGGTGCTATGCTAGTGGGGCACCAATTTAATTCCCCTCCACTCCCCCTGTCATCCCTCTGCTCGCCTGCCCCTCTCCTGCCTGCCACCGCTGGCTGGAGCTGTCTCTTCCCAGAATCTGAGCCCCCAGCCTGAACCTCCTCCACTTCTGCCAGAGGGTTAGTGCAGGCGGGGCCCAACCCCAAACTGGAGGGGGTGGAGTAAGATGCAGCACAAGTTTCCCCCTCCTCCAGGGTTGGGCTCAGCCATGTACCAGATTCGGGGCCCTTCCACATGCAAGCAGTGGCGTGGGGGGGGGGGGCACATATTTTGCATTCACCCCCGGGGTGCATAACACCCTCACTATGTCTCTGATTGACATTGAGGGCAAAACTCTGGTTGACTTCCATGAAGCCAAGATTTCACTTGGGGATTCTGCTAGATCCAACCAACCTTTCATCTTTCCCCCTCTCCCACTTCCCAGGTTATACTCCAGAAATAGCAAGGTCAAAGCAATCTGGGTCCCAAGATATGCTAGCCCAGCTGCATCACAACCAGCCAGACCTGGCACAAGCTGGATCCTGCTTGGTGTTTGTCCAGGTCCCATTACTTAAGAAGAACATATGTTTAGCTTCTCCAGCTCCACCTTATTTACACTTTGTTGCGCCCCAAACACAACAACCTTAGATCAGCTGGCATATGGCGACTGCCAAGTTCTGGTCACAAATCTAGAAAGTATATTATCGAACTAGCCAGCAACAAGTGTTACTTTTGCTGCTTCCCCAAAGCCAGATCTGCATCCCGATTAGCCGGGCACAAGCCAGCTGCCCAGCCCGTTCTCTGGCACCTGGCTGCTGCTGGAGCCAGTTAGCGCTGGGCAGCACACACCTGAGTTCCAGCATCTATGCCACGCACAAATGCCCCTTCCCCTCATCCAATTCTCGCAAGCGTCTGCTAGGAGACTTCACAGCTGAGCGCGCGCGGGGCATTTAAGTGCCCTGCAGCTGAGAGCCAGGGCGAGGCTGATCGAAAGGGCGATCTCTGTCACAAGGAAGAGTCCGCTCCACACCCGCTTACCTAGCCAGTAGTGCAGCTTGTAGAAGGTGCCACTGCGCAGCTTCAGGGTGTGGAGCACCAGGTAGGCATCCCCCACGTAGAAATTGCCGTGCAAGTTCTCGGGCACCGGCACCAGGTCCAGCTGCTCGATCCTCCAGATCTGCAGGCCACTCTTCTGGCCGGCGCTGGCGAACTCCTTGTGGTACAGCTCGGGGGCCATGCTGCGGCAGGCGGCGCCACGCGGGGAGAGAGGCAGCAGGGGCCACGGCGCGCGGGACTCCGAGGGCCACAGAAGTTTCGCTCCCACTCAGCGCCGGAGCCACAGCTGGCGGGCAGGTAGCGCCCCAGCCTTTATAACGCGAAGCCGATTGGCTCACTGCCTCTCAAGGGGCGGGGCCTGGAGCTGCGGGTGCAGCGCTTCACAGCGCGCCTGGGCCAGGGGGCGGTCAAAGGCTGCTTGTGCTGGAGAACGGGCGGGACTCTGAGGAGCGAGCGAGTTTCCAAGGGCTGACCCTGCTCTGCGCGCAGCCTGCCTCAGAGCCTGGCCCGGGCTAGGCTGGGAACCGAGGGGCTTGCGCTTCCTGGGGGTTTTAGGGAGGGGCTGTTGCTACATTTGGTAGGAGAACCAGAAGTCCTGTGGCACCTTAGACTAACACAGTGTTTCTCAACCAGTGGTACCAGTACCCTCAGGCTGTGTCTAGACTGGCCAATTTTTCCAGAAAATCAGCTGCTTTTCTGGAAAAACTTGCCAGCTATCTACACTGGTGGCTTCAATTTCCGCAAAAGCACTGACTTCCTACTGTAAGAAATCAGTGCTTCTTGCGGAAATACTATGCTGCTCCGGTTCAGCCAAAAGTCCCTTTTGCGCAAAACTTTTGCACAAAAGGGCCAGTGTAGACAGCTCAGATTTGTTTTCCGCAACAAAGCCCCGATCGCAAAAATGACGATCCGGGCTTTTTTGCGGAAAAGCGCGTCTAGATTGGCACGGACGCCTTTCCGCCAAAAGTGCTTTTGCCGAAAAGCGTCCATGTCAAGCTAGACGCTCTTTTCCGAAAATGCTTTTAACAGAAAACTTTTCTGTTAAAAGCATTTCTGGAAAATCATGCCAGTCTAGATACAGCCTCAGAGTACCTGGGAGGCACTCAACACAACTGAAATCTGGAGAAAACTGAATTTTTGTTTTAAGTTTTACAGCACTTTATTATTTTTGTACTTTTTACACCCAAAAATGTCATCACCTGCCTTGCTATGATTAAGTTGTTTAAACAAAGTGTGTTGCAAAGGTAGAAAAAAATGTGTGTGTCTGAAAGCTATAGGTACTAGGAGTACTTATAATTTTTTTTAAATGGGTACTTTATAAAAAAAAAGGTTGAAAAACGCTGGACTAACAGATTTATGGGAGCATAAGCTTTCATGGGCAAAGATCCATTTCATCAGATGCATCTGCCCACGAAAGCTTATGCTCCAATAAATCTGTTAGTCCATATGGAGTCATGGGACTTCTCGTTGTTTTTGCGGATTCAGACTAACACGGCTACTCCTCTGATACTTGGTAGGATGTTACTTTGGGGGAGAGGGGAAGTCTGCCCCCTAATCAGCACATACAGAGCCCTTCTGTGACACTGAGCATGCTTTCAGGCCTGCGCTCAATGAGTAATTTTGAGAGACCCGTGAGGGATGCAAAATTTGCATCTGCATCCACAAAAATGAACTGCAGTTATCTGCACCCGTATCCAAGGATGCAGATACCTGTGGCTATGCAGATACCTGTGGCTTTGCAGGGCTCTCATAATTTTACACCTGGTATCTCTGCCAATCCAAATAATGAGCATGAAAAACATTGCGGGTGTCAAATTGCTAAAGAGTCCAGAGAGGAATCTGTCAGGCCTTTTGCTACTGTTACACAGAGCAGTGATGAATTGGTTTAAGAAAATAAAGAAAGATGCCAGGACAGCAAAATACAACTGAGTCATGAATCATGCCTCTGTTTGTGTCTATAATTCTATCGTATCGGTCTGATTTTGTGAGCAACTCTCATCTGGGTTGATAGAATTCTTGTAGCTTTATCTTGTGGCAGGGTTGGTCACCCCTGGAAGGCAGCTCACATCTCTCTTCCCTGCTATTCCATAATTGTATTTTGGTTGTTCTGGGGCAAAGGGTTCTCAAAGAAACGCAAGAAAAAAATAGACTGCTCCCCATCCTGGACAGTTCCTATACTCAACCTCTTCCTCCTTGAAAGGTTTAAGAGTGTTGTATTTGTGTGATGAAGAACACACATAATCACACTAGTCAGTGTTAACAATTCTTTTCCTGTTTGGGGAGGGAGTGAGGAGAGAACAGGAAAACATGGATGAGGAGCCACAGAAAGTAACTGGAGTGAATGTTTTTTTCTCCAGAAAACAGGTACTAATAGCAGCATTCGTGGTGAGCACAGACACCCACATGAAAATCTACAGCACTCCATAACACTGCTCCCTCCTCAAGCAACATAATCACTCAGGATATGGCTACACTGTCTTTTTTTTTTCCAGCAGAAGTATGCAAATAGCACTCGCATTTGCATACCTTCTTCCGTTTTTTTCCCCCCGAAAGAGGCTTTTCCACCATTTGGCCTCTTCTACACAGGGCCAAATGTAAGAAAACCCCACTTCTGAAAGCCCCCTGTAAACCTTGCTTTACGAGGAAGAAGGGGGCTTTTGAAAGAGGGTTTTTTCCCCCAACATTTGGCCTCATGTAGATGGGGCTAAATGGCAGAAAAGCCTCTTCCAGAGAGGGATAAGGATCTTGCGCTAAAAGGGGTTTTTGCGCAGAAAAGAAACGTCCACACTGCTTGTTTTTATGCAAAAACCCCTTGCGCAAAAACGGCTAAGAATGATGGTGATTCCACCACCTCCCTAGGCAATTTATTCCAGTTTTTAACCACCTTGACAGGAAGGTTTTCCTAATGTCCAACCCAAACCTCCTTTGCTGCAATTTTAGCCCATTGCTTCTTGTCCAAATATTAGAGGCCAAGGAGAACATTTTTTTCTCCCTTCTCCTTGTAGCACCCTTTTAGATACCGGAAAACAGCTATCATATCCCCTCTTAGTCTTCTCTTTTCTAAACAAAACAAGCCCAGTTCTTTCAGTCTTCCCTCATAGCTCATGTTTTCTAGAACTTTAATCATTTTTGTTGCTCTTCTCTGGACCTTCCCCAGTTTTTCCACATCTTTCTTGAAATATGGTGTTCAGAACTGGACACAATACCCCAGCTGAGGCCTAATCAGCACAGTGTAGAGCAGAACAATGACTTCTTGTGTCTTGAGCACAACACTCCTGTTAAGGCATCCCATAATCATGTTTGCTTTTTTCGCAACAGCGTCACACTATTGACTCATATTTAGTTTGTTGTCCATTATGACCCCTAGATCCCTGTCTGCAGTACTCCTTCCTAGACAGTCGCTTCCCATTCTGTAGGTGTGAAACGGATTGTTTCTTCCTAAGAAGAGTACTTTGCATTGGTCCTTATTAAACTTCATCCTGTTTACCTCAGACCATCATTTTTCCAGTTTGTCCAGATCATTTTGCATTATGACCATAACCTCCAAAGCACCTGCAACCCCTCCCAGCTTGGTATCATTCTCAACTTAATAAATGTACTCTTTATGGTTATGTCTACACTAAAATGTTTTTGCACAAAAATGGCAGTTTTTGTGCAAAACCCGGTGGAGTGTCCACACCTCAACTGCACTTTTGCGCAGGTAAATCGGCAGAAGAGAAGGCACAAAGCAGTTGCAACCCCTTCCAGCTTACTATCATCTGCAAACTAAATAAGCATAACATGAACCCCTGTTGAGACAGAAGCAATGTCCCCTCCAAGGACCAATTTCAGCCACGGGATGTCAGAGGCATTTTGCAGTACAGTTATTCCTCTCCCCATGAGGAATAACTCCTTTTTTTGCTACAGCTCTTGTGCAAAAAGGCAGGTGTGGATGCTCCAGAGGGGGTTTTGTGTAAAAAACCCCTATTGCAAAAATCACAGGTGCTCTGATGGCCATTCTATGAATGGCCATCAGAGCTTTCTTGCACAAGAGCATCCATGAAGTGTAGACGCTCTCTTGTGCAAAAGCACATTGCTTTTGCGATACACTTTGAGGTCTGGACACGCTTTTGCATGCAGGAAGAACGGCTCTTGCGCAAGAGGGGGTTTTTGCGCAAAAAAGAGCAGTCTACACAGCTCCTTTTTGGTCAAAAGCATTTTGCACAAAAGCAGCTGCTAATTAATTATGCAAATGAAGCATGGCAATATGCTAATCCATGCTTCATTTGCATAAGCTTTTGTGCAAGAGAGGTGCAGTATAGACATAGTCCAAGGGTAGCCATCCCCATGGAGGTCAGGAAAGTACCTTTTTCCATACATCCAAAGACTGATATAGACTAGAGCCATGGTGTCCAGTCAGTTCTGGACCACTATACTATAGTGGCTACTGCTATAGCAAACCAGCCACACTCAACCAGCCAAATAGCCACATGTGGCTAGTGGCTAGCGTGTTGGACACCACGGGACTAAAGCATCTCATTGCACAGGAAATCCTTGAGTGAATTATACTTATGAATGAGCTATACCAATTGTACCCATACTCAAGCCAAACAGCAGAGTTTGACTGTAGTCAAGGCACTCACATAGCACTCTTATGCTGTGTCTGCTGTTAACCAGCTGTTCACTTGTTTGGAGGAAAAGACTTTACAAACTCAACCTTGGGCAAGTGTATTAACTACTAATTAATACAGGTGCACAGATGATTATTAGTTATCGAGGAGCATTTTGAGTCAAGTATCTCCAATTTGGAATTTGTGTTACACCAGGAAATTTCCTATCCTTCATGGAAACTGTAGTTACCAGAATTCCAGACACCATATGATATTTTGACCATTTCCTGATTATGAGATCATCCAAGGTTGAACTGGTTGAGCACCTTCAAGAAGTCTTGCTCCAATTTGAGAAGTCAGGGATTCGAGTCAAAAAGGAAAAATGTAAAATTGGATCTATAAGTGTTACTTTCTTGGCCTGTCAATGAGCATAGTGCAGAGTTGTGTGGCCTCCATGGTTCTGTCAAAGAGGGTAGACTGACACCAAAAAGTGCCATGTGGATTTATGGGATTTTTTAAAAAAGGCACAAAATTGTGAAATATGAATGGGATTATGAGATGGAAAAAGTTGCATGCTGGAAACTTGACAGCTAATTCCCGGAGATACATAGACAAGTGATTTCTCTCCCACAACACATTGCAAAACTTTCCCAAAAAGCATTGCGCTGGACAGTGGCAAATAACACACTGGAAATACCTACTCACAGTGCATCACATTTT